CAGTTCGTTAGAAATAATAACTCCATTATTACTGTCCATAGCACTATTTCGACACACAATACATACTTTTACATCCACGGTTTCAAACATTACAAGTCAACATGGAAAAATGTAGTTTCAACAATATGCTTCCCCAACAAGTAATCTTATATCTTGGCAATGTCCCTTGGCCCTCCCCCACAGTCCCTAAATTTGTCCCTAAGTCTGCTATTTCATAACATATGCTTATTTTTATATTGAAAGTCTACATTTACAAACATTGCACAGTAGATGAGAAGAAAGAATATTAATGCAACGATCTAAACATAATTTAGCAATTTTTTACAAATGAAAAGGTAAAATTTGCTTATTGGGTGCAAGTTGGTGATTTTAGTGACTTATTACATATTACATTAAAAAAATAAAGCTTTTCATTTCCAAATCTTTCTGCAATTTTTTTGTACTGTTCTTCCCAAGTACACAGCAATCTTTTTTCATATAGGCTTGCAGTTTGTGGATTTTTGCATCAAAATTCTATATTCCTTCAGAAATTTTACTGAAGTTTCTTGCATTATTGGAAAATTCCACAAGTGACTATTTTAAAATTAACTTAAAAAAAAAAAAAGGCAAGCCTCAGAGGGGGGCAGGAAGATGCATAAGAAAATGGCAATGTTGTTTGATTGATGGATTATTATGAGCATGGTTGCCAAAGTTTGGCCCATTCTGCTAAAGTGGTTGTAATAACACGTAAGTACCAATGAAAACTCCATTCACAAAGAAATTTAAAATTTGTCGAAACAAATGTTGAGTGTGATGGAGAACTTCAAGAAAGAATTCCAGTGTACAGCAAGAAATACTATCTTCCGTAATTAAATAATCAGTGCATATATATATCAAGGATACAATTATTACAGATTGTTTTGGTATTAACATTTTTTTTAATATTACCTTAATTTTTTCGCTTATCACCCTGTATGTATTGCTAAGATTCAAAAACACCCGAGAGATTGTTTTAATGTTTTAGAAAAGCAAAAATTATACCACACTAGGCATTTGACTTCCAGTTAAACACAGTATTATGCAAATACAATTAATTTTGAAGTTAGAACTAACTGATGAGCAAATGTTAGGAGTTACATTTGTAGGTACACTAATTAGTGTAGTAATGAGTGAAAATCTAGAGTTTATATTTTGGTCTAAAACCAGTCTGAGACTACTGCCAATCTTCAGATATGTAATCACTTGTAATTGATCAAATGTTTTGATTTACCAGTAAGCTGCACTTTAATTACCACTCAGTGTTTTTTTGGGGGGGGGTTGTTGTTGTTTTGTTTTGATTTTGTTATTTTTATTACACATTATCATCTGTAAAAGATCACTGAACTTTTTGATGAGTAGATTTAGAACAGAACACTAGCAGAACTTTTTTATGAAGCCTTCTCTTCTGGCCTTACCGGCAATTATGAATTCAGCAATTATGAGGCAACATAATGCATCAAAAAAGAAATATACCTCAATATAAAACCTGCTGTATGTCACATCACAAAAAATGTTACCATATTTACTCAAAAACTAAGACCACCTTAAATATAAGGCCCTTTATACATTTTAAGAAATAAAAATGTAGGTGAATATTTGATGAAAGCAACAGAGATTTCGATTAGATTTAAAGCTAAGCTGATTAATTAAGCTCAGTAGAAAAGCTTGAGAAAAAACAAAAAGAAAAATTTCTAAAAGTTAGCGTAACATTGTTACCTATTTGTTTTCAGATATACCAATGACCAGTATAGTGAATGTAGGCCTTAAGTGAAATCAACTTGTTTTATATAGTATAATAATGAGCTCTTTCTTCTTCTTCTGCAGTTTCATTTATCAAAATATCTGTTTATAAGCTCCTACCAAATTTTAGAACAAACACATAGCAAAACAAAAGCATATTTATATTATTTTTGAGTAAATACAGTATCTTTTATACAAAAGTGTGGGTTTCTGAAAATATTTAGTCTAAATATCTCACTTTATTTAGTCACTATCAATGCATATAAACTACTAAGCTATATATGCGGCTTAAGTGTTTGTCGCCGATAGTTTATTGGTTGCTTGCGTAACTGTAAATTGTTTTATTCCTCATGCAGTGCAGCATGTGACTATTATGAGAAAGCTAAGCCAAAAAAATTAAAATACAAGAGCACGTGCATTTAACATTTAATAAATAAATTTAACATCTATATATAATAGAAATCAGAAATATGCAACCAGCAAAAACCGGCAACGATGAAAAAACAAATAAAATGAAATAAATAAATATCTTTATTATACGCGGCTTAAGTGTCTGTTTGTCGCCAGTTTATTGGTTGCTGGTGTAACTGTACTCACCAATGGGGTGAAGTTGCCATGGCATAGGATTGCCGCTTCAATTGAGACGTACACAATTTCCTGTAAAACTTGCCTTTGCTATGACCATCAATAAGTGTCAGGGCCAAACGCTTTAGCGTGCTGGCATTTTTTTACATGAGCCTGCATCTGGACATGGTCAACTTTATGTTGCTCGTTCAAGAGTTCGTGAAAGAACGGACGTAAAATTAAAAATAATTGATGGTCCTCTGCAAGGCAAGCTTAAAAATGATGAAAAGATCTACACAAGAAATGTTGTGTACAAAGAGACCTTTGACATGTGAATTAACATTTTATTATTTAAATCACCTTTATTTATTGAGCTAGCAGTGGCTTTTAAGAAACCTACCACCAGTGATTTCCTTCATTGCAATCTACTTTAATTAATTAGCAATTAAGAAAGTAGAAGGGGAAAACCCCGTGGGGCAGTAAGCAAAGGGGCGTTCTCACCACCTGCCCTGGGTAATTCAGTTTGAATTAGCAGACACCTTTGCACAAATCATTTTAATTACAATTTATAATATCTAAAACAGCGGTCATTTCATATGACCATCGGGCTTTCTAGTGTATATATATATATATATATATATAGAAAATTTTTAAAAAAATATTTAGTATATAAACAATATCGCAAAGGGAAAAAAAATTTTTAATTAAAAATTTATCTTCTATCTAAAATCTTTATAAGTTTGGCATCTGTAAAACAGTTTTTCCTTGTTACACTTTGTAATTCATGTTTATTTCTGAAAGGCAAATGTTAAATTTTTCAGATTGACAGGTACTTAAAATAATTCTAAGATGTTTAAATAATCATAAAATATCTTAGTTTAATTTAAAACTTGAAAATAAATAATCACAACCTCGGCTATTTCTCTCATTTCTCATTTTTTTCGTAATATTATTAAGTAAAAACATATGTATATAAATAAATATATACAGTCAAAAGTCTTTAATCCGGACTCGTCGGGACTTCGGCGATTCCGGATTATCGGTTTTTCCGGATTATAGATCATCAGTTTAAATCTGGTAAGATGGCATGCAGAAATTATAAAATTAAAAATATGAAACCATAATTTATGAAATAAAGAGCAATTATGATCTAAAGGGTATCAAAAGTTACAAAAAAAAAAAAGCTCAATATTTATTTGTTTACGTCATTAGACATTTCTATCAACGCGTGCATGCGTAAAGCATACATTCTGCATAGTCGAAATTAGAAAATTGCAACCAGAAAACTATTTGATGTGTATTCGTGATAAAATTTGATTTAAGTCATATGAAAGACGGAGTACATCGAGATGAAATACAACATTTAGTAACTAATTATAAGCCGAACAAAATAAAAACATCTGCCCTGAAGATAAGGATAACGCCGACAGATCAACTTCCAGTTCATTGCGCGCCGCGATGTCTCCTCCCCTCACAGAGAGCTGCGTGAAATTGATAAACAGATTTCGGAATGGTTAGAGAAACAAAGGATATGCCTTTATCCATTTTTTGCAGCAATTCCACTTTTTGTTTCATGGACATCGAAACATGTTTTCGCTTTGCAGATCCTTTGGCAGCTCCAGAATTGGAAATTCTTTTTGACATTATCGAAAGTTCAAGCTTACTTTTATAAAATTACTCTAACAGTTTGCAAAAAATAATAAGCCAGATCCAATTAGAAAATTAAGGAACAACGCAATCTGAAACATTAACTGAAATAGATAATTAGATAATTTTAGCTTAGCTTATATCGTCCGTTGTACATTAAACATGCCTGCGTAAACGTATTAGCGCATGTGCAAACGGCATATGCGCACACGTAAAGGTATCATGCGTATGCGCAGAAAGTTTGTAGCTTTGGGGTCTGGATTACAGATCATTACGGATTATGGACATCCGGATCAAAGACTTTTGACTGTATTTAGTTTGTATTTAGTTCTCTCTACAGCTTGACACCTTATGGCATTTTCATTCTAGTAAGGTTTGTAGCTTTGGAGATAAATTACTGGAAATTATCTTCATTGCAGATTATAGATTATCATCGGTTAATAGGTTTCTTTTCTTGTTAATTTTCAACAATGAATAAAAGCTGTTTGCATATAAATATATTCCCAAGCAAACTGCAACAACAATTCTTAATGCAAAAATTCGTAACTGAATTTGCTTATTTTTTGACGAATATGAGTAAAAGTTAAACAGACCGTGATCTTTAAATCTTAGAATCAGATTTATATTCGCATTGTAAATTATTACTCCATTTATAGGTTTTCTGCTGTGTTATTCGTGTTCATTTTTATTGGAAATTCACATAATATAGACTCGCACTTCAAATAACTAAAATTTTGAAATCTTTGCTACACTTGCATTTGTAGCAAATAGGTAAATAGGTAGTTAAATGTATTCGTGGTTCCATAAAATTGCTTCAGGCAGTACAAGTTTCAGACTTTGCTCCACAGGATCTTAACTCACTTAAAAAAAAAAAAAAAAAAAAAAAAAAAAAAAATTCTTTAAATGGAACACAAATTATTATATAACCAAATCTTACATTTGCCATGAAACATTTTGCTTTGTATTTGGAAATAAAAGGGTTAAATCACAAAGTTAGATTATTATTCATAAAATTTCACTCCCTGTTTTTTTTTTAATATTATGCTTTAAATTACAGAAGAAAAACTAACTTCTCTAGATATGATTCTTGCAGTGGCTGCATCACAAGGATCAGAAAGAGCTACAAGGTCCCCAAAGGATGACATTCGATCAGCACCTTTCAAAAAAAAAAGTTTAATATATGAATTTGTTTTTCAACACAAGCCTTAAAGATAACAAAACATGAAAAATAGCTATTTCTTTTTAATTTGGTGCATTTACAATTTGGTTTTACAATCAAATAAAATTTTCATGTGCAAATTGCTTTGAATATGCACACCTTGATTTCATAACTTTTCAGATACTTATTAGTTTCATATTTTCTTCAAGATAAAAAATTTCCAGTGGCACTTTATATTCCTTATCTACCATTACATCAAATATTCTTTCCAATAATCATCTATGACTATTGAGATCCTGTAATCACCTCTGTTTAAGTTTTTGCAGTTCTGCTTTTAACCATTTAAAAAAAAAAAAAAATAAAAAAAAAACTCGGTTGTTTAACAACAAATGCTGCCGACAACCCACCATTCAGATCAGTGTTTTCCAAATTGTGTTCTGCAAACAATCATTAAGTAATCTATGGCAAATTATGAAACTGAGATTAGTGAACAACGAAATGCTGTCTGCTTTTATATATTTAAGAAATTTAAATCAACTCTTAAAAGAAATTTTAAAGAGAAAACATAAAACAAAGTGGTTTAAATCATGTGCCTAATAAATTTAGTAATGTAGCACAACAGCTGATGACTTATATTATCAACAAAATACATACAGAATGCCTTTCTGCTATTGTTTCTGTTCTGTGCTTAAAAGTAAAGTGTTTCAGTGTCACTTTGGTATTTTAAAAGTATTATTACTTTATCTTCTTTTTGAAATTGGTAAGCAAATAGAAAATTTCTACTAATCATTAAAATTGCCTTTGTTTTTAAAAAAATGAGATTCATCAAAATAGCCCAAGCTATAAGATCCCGACACAAGAGACCAAGATTAAACAGCCCTAACAAAATGGCTATCAAGAATAAATAATTATTGCTGAATAATAAGTGAGGATAAAATTAGGCATTTCCCACTGATATTTTTATAATCTGCAATGAATCTGATTTCAGCACTACTGTTTATCATAAACCTTGTTCCGTTTGTTTGCATCCCATAAGTTACGTCACCCATCAAAATATGGCTTTTTTACTATTATGTATTTCATGCTCTCAATTTTTTTTTCCTGAAAATCTTTGTTTGCTAATGAACTCAATTATTATGAGATCAGTTCTCAATGACTGAGGATTTCCTTGCTTGGTCATTGATGAAATCTTTAAAATTTTCATCTGGCCCTCAAAGAAAACATTACGCTGCTAGAAAGACCATTAATAACTTTCTTTTGCCTCCATTTCATACATCTATCAGTTAAGAAATTACATAGATTCTTCAGACGTTCAATTATCAAGTTATTTTCTTGCCTGTCAATAAAATCCATGGTTTGATGGTTAAAGATTCCATTTCTGACATGGGGAATTTATAACATATCTTGCCAGTGTGGTTCAAGATCAGCCAAGAGTGTTAAAGTTTCATACCAAGAGAATATGAATCTTATGTCTGAAAAATGAAATTAACAAGTCTTTTAAAACTTAAAAAGTATTTTGCAATGAAAAATATCCAGGAAACACTAACTGAGATTTTTCTGCTTTGAACAATAAAAAATGTGAATTTTACAAGATGTCATTTATTTAAATTTTTGGTAATAGATGTTTTTCCTTGGTGAAAAATACTGTCACCAAGAAATCATCAGCCAGGTAACTGATGGATATTTTTCTAATGAAGGATACATTGTATTAACTTTTTTAACAGTTAAATGGGATAATTTTATTTTTAAATGTACAATTAAATTATATTCACTTCTGCACTGTGCAGTAAAGCATTTAGTTGTTTACACTATGCCTATCCACTTCATAAAAGTCTCAAAATTTAGAAAAAAATGAAACATGAACTTTGCAGATAAAGATGAAACATATGATTATTTTAAACAATTTCATACACAAAAACATTTATAATAAAAGATGCAAAATTAGATAAATGAAATCTGTAAAATTAATTAAAAAGCAAATTTTATATTGATAACAATATGGTGAATACACAACCTACAATTAAAGACAAACAAATGGATGCAACAGAAATAATTAATTACAAGCTACTAGATTAATTAAAGTAAATGCACTACCTGTAACCTAATACTTCTATTATACATTAAAATGTCACTTAATACGGCACATAATTTTGATTTAGTAAAATGGTACAAAATAATGCTGTTGAATCGTTATTACAACTTAAAATAACATGGCTAACACTATTTGATTATAGATTTGCATTTTTGCAGCTGAGGATGATAGTTTGGCAAAACCATCAAAACTAGTCCTGTGAAAATATAATGTTGATTTTTGTTGTTTGACTTCTAAATCAATACAGAGAGGGTGTTTATGCATTTTTAGAATGATTTCAGAGACATTTAATTAATATTTAAAATGTAGCCTACTTTTTCTAATTTTTGATCTGATAGCCTTTTTTCTGGCATATAAGTTTGCATTGTGATTTTCATAATAGATTTTTTTTTTTTTCTTTTTAAATAAAATTTCCAAGGATATCGGTTTTAATTTCTATTCCACCATTTTTCCAGAGTCCATTGATCATGCTGGGTTTACTTTTAGAAAGTGTTCTTTTTAAGAGACCAAAGGCACAATAGGTGAAACATCAGGTAACTTCACAGGAATCTGCTGAAGAGGTATATCTACAATACCTGTATCCATCTTAATTTTGAAGTATGACTTGTTACACTGTCTTGATGAAGTTTCACTCTCTGAAAGTCATAGGGATAAAAAAATGGAATTGCTTCTGTAAATATCATACATCTCTTGATAGTATGTTGAGTAATTTAACACATTTTCCCACTCTTGTTTTAAATTTCCCATTGTAAGTGAATCCTACAATAATCATAAACCCCTTACTGCATTGATGAAAACAAGAATGTGTATTTTTTTTCTGTGTTTTCAATAATAAATAGACCTTTGTTGCAATAATTTAAGTAAACCCATCATAATCCAGGATCACAATGTTATTTCCATTTATTGCCTGCTAAATAGTTTTCATACAGAGTCCTACAAACTATTCTGCATTGAGTCACATGCCTTGGCAAAAGCTGATGCATATTATGTTTTTTGTTTTTTAACCTCTTTTAAATTGTAAATTTTGATTTATTACTTAATTTATTGTTGTTACAGATGTATTTAAAAACTTTCTGCATTAGCGGATTTTCTCTTGTAACTAATGGTTTAACTTTAGAAACAGTACATAACTTTTTCGGGTATTCTTCTAAAGTATTCTTTCCGTGAAGACACAATGATTGACATTTTTTCCGTTTCCAATAAATAATGCTGCTTAATTTGGCTTAGAAATTTGAATACCATGCATTTTATAACATTCAAAAAAGTACAAAAACATATCCTTCAACCCACAGCTTGCCACACAAGTGACATTTTTAAAGAAGAATGAATATTTAAAAGTAACCGGTGATACTTCTCATTTCAAATAATAAGCTGTTGCCAGAAAATTTTATTACAAGACATTTGCTTTTTCTTTAATTCTTTGTTGAAATCATTCTAAAAATGTGCAAACAACCTCTGTATACACAAAACCCATTGCAACACAAAGAGTAGTTATTCTAGAATACAAAAGTAATGTTTCACTTAAAATGCTCTTTTTTTTTAATACAGTTATGCATATGTGATATAATAAATAATCATTTATACAGATAATATGAAAACAAACATGAACAAATGATTGATTAATGATATGAGTTACAGTTAAATGCAAGTAAATAAATTACTCAATTTTTTAATCATACAAAATAATAATGTATTTATGATTCCTTATTAACTGCAATAAGATATTCATGACAATTAGAAAATTATTACCTCTGGCCCTAGCATATGCAGTTGCTAATGGAGTCAAGTCTTTATACAAATCATCAACCATGCACACTTTTGCCTCTTCATATGAGAGTGGCACTGCCACAGCAGCTCCTGCGGGACTCACATGCTTGAAAGATGCAGCAGCGGGCATTCCCAAACCTTGCTTGAGTTCAGAAACGAGCTGCCAAGCATTCAGAGCATCACAGAAGTTGATAAATCCTGGCGATCCATTAAGCACTTTGAACGGCAACTGGTCCCTGGTTGTGTAAATTTGTGCAGGTTTTTGATGCGGATTCATTCCATACCTCAGAGGCATCTGAGAAATTCCCTGGCTGAACTCTTTTCGAAAGTAATCGGAGATGGCAGTATCATATTCTGCAGTATGATTGAAAGCCTGTAATAATTAGAAAATAAAAAAATTAAAAAGGAAAAAATTGCGTCAAATTTCTTTAGCCGATGAAAATAGAATGTGGAGTTTTATTGATACACAAAACTTTGGAATCAACATGATTCCCACTGAAATTCAATTTTTAATTTCTGACGTTTTTCGTGATCTAATGGAAGAATATTCCCAATTAAGCATAATGTAGTTATGAAGTTAAGCATCAATAACTGAACTCTTTTATGCATTTAATAACTAAATATAATGAAACAGCTAAGAAAACTTTAAAACAACATTTTATTATGAACCAAATGTGCACAAACTACGCATTTAAGCTATTAAAAAAAGACAGTACAGTTTAAAAAAAAAAAACTGTTAAATTTGGGGGGGGGGATTCTATTTTGGAAGAGAAATCAAGTAGATCATTCTTAAAAACATACTAACTCCTATAGTATTTCAAAATGAAACTGAAGAGTTCAGAATTATTCAAGATTGGTAAAAGTGTACAGTTAATACAAATATTCAGGTATTGATATGGTATGCAATTTAAGACTTTTAGTTAGCTAGTCATTTCTTAGATGGTGCCATTAAAATGCTTCTTTTTAAATACGAAAATAAATACAAATAATTAAGAATGCATAAATGAAACTGACTCCGTAGCTGCTAAGCATGAAATCTTGAAAACTGGGAGATCTTTGTGAGAAAATTGGGAGGTTTCCATGTTACGTGGCATCACCATTTCAAAGGAACTCTAAACTGATTTTAATTTACTTTATTATGCATGATTCAGGTTATGGAACTATTTACAATATGATTTGGATTTAAAAATACAATAATAGTTAGTTAGATATTCTAAGTCTCATGTTTTATGGTTAATTTCACTTTTTAATTTTCTTACACTTTTTGTACCAAGAAAATACTGAGCTGGGAAGGAAAGCTTTCCTTTCTCAGGGTACTTTTAAATATTATGAAAATAAAATTAATAAGTAATGCACATAGTATTTGTGCAGATAAATTTGGCAGATTACCATGTAAACAAAATTAAATACAAATATTAACTGATTAAACAATGCTTGAATCTTCATATACAAATTTATAAATGTTTATAGTAGATTAAGGCAACTGAGATCAAATTAAAATTAATAGGAAACATTTTATAGGATCAGTAAAATGCAATAACAAATATAATTCAGATGAAATAAAATTTAATAAGAAAAATTATTCTGAAACTGATTACAGGTAGGATAACAGAATTTGCCTAATTTAGTTTCATTAATTCAATCCATTTCCTATATTGTTGCAAAACCTCTTTATTAGTAAAGGTAAAAAGTTGAAAACTGGGAGATTCAGTTAGCTACCAGAATAAGTGATGAAATATCGAAAATCTCCTGGTAAAACTGGGAGCTAAGTGATTCTATCAATTAATTTAATACTCTTATTTAAATATTAAATTTAAATTGCTTCCAATGTTATAAAACAAAAGCAGGAGAGTGTCTCTTAAAAGGACTGTTTTTATGCACTGTTTAAGCCACATACAGTAGGAATGTCTCACAGCACATCCAAAAATAGTCATTACTTTTATTAGCAGATTTCCACTATGTTTCTCTGAGATAATGCAGAAGCATTTGCAGCGTGGTATTCTGCACGTTGTGTAGAATCTAGCTTCAAAATTCTAGCAGCATGATTCAGTTGTTTGAGTATTAGCTTGCAGGACTGACAAAGTTCTTTCAGTGGTTTACATTTTGATGATCTGGATGAAATCGCACACCACATCAATATTGACATTTATTACACACAACACTTTATGTAATCACACTTAATGTTACCATTTGGACATTGTTAATTAACTGCTAATGTCTCATACATTAATAACATAGAAAATTCTTCACTTATTGTAATCAATAATTCTGTTAATAGGTTCAAAATATTATTATAGAATAATTTTTTTAAACTGAAGTAAAATTGCCAAATAAGATGAAAATAGATTATAAAAATTGGCAAGTGACAAAAATCTCACTAAGGTAAGAGATTAAGTCACCAAACAGTTTGGTTTCAATTTTAATGAACCATTTAAAATTAAGAAAAAATGTAACCTTAATTTGGTATAGATTGTAAATAATTCTACTGGTTTTGAAGGCAGTCAGTTGCAGGTCTCTCTTCTTCAAGAGAGGGGAAACAAAACATGAAAACATCAACTAAGACTGCCTTTTTTTTTTTTTTTTTTTTTTTTTTTTTTTTAAATTTTACATTGGCATGTTCTCTTTTAAAGAGGGATATCCTTAAAGTTACTAAAATTATTTCCAGAAACATTATGAACATACCATAAGCAAATGTTTGCTTTTTCCTAGTTAAAAAGCTATGAAAGTATGTATTTGCATGTTTCCAGTTATATTTACATTAAATTAGTTAAATTTTATTTCTATTTTGAAGGGCAATTTTTTCGCATTGTTTTATACTATCAAAACAGCTGTGGACAAACGCAATCACAAAAAAGTAAGCGGCACCTGCTCTAATGAACAGCTACGTAGTACAGTAACTTCTAAATGCTCTGTTAATTTCTAAAGGGCAATCAGACTTTTCAGGTGAAAGATGACAGAACTGTTACATTCCTAGAGATAGAAGAATGAAGAACAGCTCATTAAGAGGTGAAGAGCTTTGGCTTAATAATGATGCTTTAGATATAAACTGAGTAAAATAATTTATGCAAGAGAACCAAAAACCCCAATAAATTTATATCTGTTTTTCTTTATAAGACAGGTAATTTTTATTTACAGTTTACTATTTTAAACATGCACTTTTTATTATCTGATTGGTATGTGTTTTCCTTTCAAGTTACCAGACATTTTGGAAAAAAAAAAAAAAATTTCAAACCTTTTCTGTCTTTCCAGGATTTTTCATGTGAATGGGAATCCTGATGAAGCAATTTAATCTCTTTCATCAACTTATTTCTAGTCACACAACTTTTTTAGTCAATTCCTATTTAAGCACTGTCTTTCAAAATAAATTTCATTGGGGGGAGATAGATTTAGTTTCATCATATATAAACAAGGAATTTGCTCGGAAGAAAAAGAAATAGCATACAACTAGGTTGCAGAGTGCTTCAATTGAAATTAAACACTAAACACAGCATAAGGTAAATACTAAAAATGTGATTTTTAAGCATCAAGTTAAAACCTTTAGCTCAAAGACTGAAAAATGTTCATCGTATGTCTTTCAGTAAATATGATCTGGTATGATTAAAATGTTTATAATTAATTATAATTTTTTTTTTAAATTTTAAATTTATGCACAATAGAGGAAGTGGAAAAATATGCAAATATTTTTTTTAATTTTCAGAACTTAGTGTTAAAAAACTAGGGAAAAATATATGGTATACATGGAAACTGAATCACAGTGGAAGTCAAAATGAATGCCAGGATTTCATTCAATTTCATTTTCAAGCTTTAGTATGCAAATGCAATTAATGTATTTATTCAAAAGATATACACTGTAAAAGATGATATACACGAGTTACAAAAAGTAGTTTGTAATGTTATATCTTGCCATAGATGGCACCACAAGCACAACCTCTGTAAGCATTTGGGATAATGAATTTATGTAAAGACAAAGAAGGAAGATGCTGCATTCAGTTACACTTTCATAACATGGTAACACAACAGCAGAAAGCATATTGTGCGCTTGAGTAACTGTTCAGAGGCATTTCCGAATACTGACAGACAGCAGTGGATGATAAGGCAATTCATTGTTGGTATTCACAATGTCAAGAGAGAAGCTAATTTTTCAAAGGAAACTCAACAGGTCATCCTAAAGTGGAACAAGATGCAGTTCACCATATTCAAGACAGCTAGATTAGAAGCTCTTAATAATTTACATATTGAGCTGGATGAGAACTGGGTGTACCACAGAAAACTCAGTGGAGAGTTCTCAGGACGAGTTTGCAGATGAAACTTTCATTTGCAGTTGGGACAACAACTGAAACAAGATCTGGCTCATCGGTTATCCTTTTGTTTTACACTTCTGACATCAATAAAAGATGCTAAATTTTCTGAAAATTTAGTATTCAGCTATGAAATCAGCGTTTCCCATTTTCAGATTAGTGAATAAGAATAATGCAAGAACTTGGAATACCTAACATCAAAATACGACAATGCAATACGAACATGATTCCGCAAAGATTAATATGTTTTGTACAGTATCCTGTAAAAAGATCTATAGACTTTTTTGTTGTTGTTGAAACCATTGTGACGAGAACTGTGTACCTCAATATGCTTCAATTATGGTTTCTGTTGCAACTATAAGATGAACTGCCTAGCTTTACTCCGCAACAGGACAGTGCACCACCACATTTTGTGACAGAAGTGCGGAACAACCTCATAGAACATTACCATGATGGTGGAATGCACAGAGCACTATTATCTTGGCCACGGAAATCCCACCACCTGGTGTTTATTTGGGGGACGGAGTGCAAAGGATTGCATGTATGTGATTTTAGGTAATTGACTAATTTGAAAGCCCGTATCATAGTTGCTACACAAGGTCTGGCAACAAGTGCATTGCAGACTTGATGTATGTAATGTAACAAAAGGAGCATATATTGAACATATGTGAGGACTACATTTAAAACTTAATTATAATATTTCTACATGTATGTATGTTTTGCATAAATATATTACATTTTCTGTAGTAAAGTCTGAAATCCGGCATTCATTTTGACTTAACCCTGTATATAAAATAAACATAGAAAAAATTAGTGAAATACTAAAAAGTAAAATAATGAAATTTTGAATCTAATGAATAAATAGACAAGGTAGTTACACTGAAGGATGAAATTATGTACACTGAAAATAAGTATTATATATTGAAGTTATATGTGTGTGTATATATGTGGAGGTAGATTCTTCGACTCCATTTACTTCTACTTCTAACCAGCAAGGTGTGACGTCATCACAGCTTAGCGCAGCTTGCAGAGCGGCAGACGACCGCTGAAAGTGCTGAGATTAAGATGTGTTCGACGCACAGAGCGGATAGCTTCGAGATGGAATGGAAGCAGGCAGACGGCCTGCAGATCCTCCAAGGATGCTTATATCGAGTTAGCCGTATGAGGTCAAGGATGAGCTTTTGAATGTATTTATTGAGGGCTAATAGTGTGTGAGAAATATTAGTCACCGTTACGTTAATCAAATCCTGTAGAACTGTTTGGACTGAGTATAATTATTGTCAGACTCCCAGCTAAACTATTAATTTTTACTTATATTTTATTTCATATTAGTAATATAAAGCAGTTAATTATGCTTAAGTCATGCTCTACTATGTTCTTATTGAAAGGGAACCCCACATATATATTGATAGATTGAATAACAGTATCACATATTAATTGAAAGAAGGAAATACATGGTTTGGAAGGCAAAAATATATATATATATATATATATATATATAAACAAATAACATAAATTACTTTAAGAGCAAGGCGTCTCCTCAGATCTAAACTTGATTCCCCTAATAAAACATCATAAGAGTTTTGATTTCCACTCTCTAAAATATTTGTAATCCTGTGGGGATAGAAACAAACATATCAAAATTTGGAAAACATGCATAAAATGCTTAGTTTTCTGAAGCAAACACATTCCGTTTAAATAAAGTTAAACTGAAATTAATAAAATTAAATGAAATGATCAACACTTACAATGAATAATCTGATGGATCACAAACAATGACAACACGATCATGATTTTTGGCAGCAGCTCTTAGTAATGTAACACCACCTACCAAAGCATAAAATAAAAATTAATTTTCAATCATTTCAAAATTTTTCATAATAAAAATTACATAATATATTTTCCTAAATTACCTATATCAATATTCTCAACAGCATCTGCAACGGTTACGTTAGGTTTGGAAACAGTATCAACAAAAGGATATAGATTACACACGACGACACTAAAAAATAAAAACATATGATTACATAATTCATTCTTTGTTACGAAGAAAAATTATTTAAAAATTGCATAAAAAGAAAATTAAAGAGAAAGCAGCTTTTTTCAAAAGAAACTATTCCAGTTGACAATAATTTATTACATTACTTTACATTTAACCATTAGCTATGCAATTGTGCTGTCCTAATGAAGTTAGATTTATAGAGGACAAACATATTTGATATACACTTCTGCATGTGCACTATGAACACAAGCCAGTTTCCGTTAGAATGTGATCCCTCAAAAGGCAGATTACAGAGACAGTTTTAAAAACTAACAATTTAATTTAATTTTATAATTTGCCTGAGCATTTAAAATAGGGGTTTATTGAGCCCCTAGGGGCTCAATGAAATTAAAAAAAAAGAGATTCAGTAATGATCAAGGGGTTACCTGTGGATCAAAAGCCAAATAATATCTGGCAAATGATTGCTATAATCCAAGATAACAAACACTGCTTACAAAAATTACTAACAGACTTGATAATTAATTGTTAATTTATTATCAAGATAATTATTAAATGTAAAGATATAGCCTATAAAGTGAAGTCATATTTAAAATACATGGTTATGCTAAGTTTCAGAATTTAAAAGTCACCCAAAAGAAATATTCCCAAACAAAAAATTATTACCAAACCATAATATTGATTGTCTCTCTTCTTACCTAATGGAAGCATGCATTAGTTAAGTCAGAAATTTGTTATAGAAAACTAGAAACAAATTGAATATCTTTAAATGAGGTAATTTATGAATTAAGCAATTTTATGCCAAATATTACAGCAATATATCCACTGCAACCATCATATTACTTAAAATCAAAATTTTGTGCAATGATAATCTGTGACTTTGTTTCTGAAAATTTGTTTTATATTTGTAAAATATAAAAAAATAATCACACACAAAAATAATAAAACATTGATTTAACAAACTTTTTTCATAAAACTTGTTCATATTCTCAGTCTAAAAGTTAGCTTTAAGCTGTTGGTGTGCAATTATTTGTATTATGGTATATAGTACAGAGAAAAATGTAAGGGGTCAACGTAGAAAGCCATTCATTTAAAAGGGATTGATGCAGAAAAGAATTTGGAATCTCTGAATAAAAGAATATTGTTGTGAATTTATGAAAACATTTCTATCTATTTGACTGCATTTAAGTCACACTGTTACCAGTCTAAATCTTAATCTTTGTATTTAGATCTAAGTACTTTTAATGTTTTCTAACTGTTTTCCCCCAGAACATTTAGCGTTTGGCCTATTGAATTTACATGTTTTTTTTTTTTTTTTTTTTTTTTTTTTTTTTTTTTTTTTTTATCTAGATGTAATGATTGTGTTAAAATGGATTTGTGTAAGAGAAACTTTAACTAAACCATTTTAAAAAAAATATTAATTTAGAAGTCAAACAACAAAAATCAGTGTTATATTTTCAAATTTTCACAGGACTAGTTTCGATGGTTTTACCGAACCACCATCCTCAGCTGCAAAAGCGGATTAGATAAGAAAGACTGAACAAGAATTAAGCTACTGGCACCATCTGCTGATGAAACGAGAATTAAAACATAATTTCCTTAAAGATTGAAGGCAAAGATGGATTGGAATTACGGTCGTTAACTAGAACAGAAAGATTTTTTTTAATGTGAAATGCCTCTAGAAAATTCAATTTATCAATGGAACATGTCTTTTGAATAATTTTGGCTGCAGAAAAATTGAAAATATGATTTTTGGACCAACAATGCTGGGAAACAGAAGACTTCTGTGTTTCCTTTTTTCTAACATATGTTTCATGTTCCTTAATGCAAAATTTTAAGGCTCTCTTACTTTTAACTAATGTAAATTAAACCACACTGGCAAGGAATCTTGTAAATGCCCCAGGAATTCATATCCGAAATGGGGTCCTTGACTATTAAATTAAAATTTTATTGATGGGAGAATAAATGAACCGAAAAGTTAAATTTCTGTAAAATACGTGGAATTTTATAGCTAATTGATGGAAAGAAGGGAATGACAACAGAATTCTTATAATCTCCTAAAAAAAAGAGTGTGCTTTTGTTTAGTTTAACACGAGTGTGTGTTGAGATGATAATTTTTTAACTGCTTGATTAATAATGTTGTGTGAATAGCCCTTGTCAATAGCTACTCCTTTTAAATAATTTAGTTCTTCATCAAGAGATAGTTTGGAAGAGCAAACTTGAGCTAAGCTTAAGAAATATAGAGCTATTGGTAATAATAAAGCTATGCCGAAGACAGACTGCTAATGCAGAATGTCAACTAGTAATGTCGCCTTCAGCAGGCAGAACAAGCTCTGCCTAAATAATCTAAAATTTTCCTTTAAAAAGTATCTTTTTTTGGTACTATTCCATTTTGAGGAACGTTAAAAAATCACTAAACTACTGTTGATGCCACTGCTGCCAAAAATAATTGTGGCAACCCTAAAACAAGAAAAGAAGTATAATAGTAAATAACTATCTAAAGATTATTGTTTTAATTTATCTGAAAAGTTAATTTCATATAATACTTTTTATTATTACAATTTATATAAAAAAGGCTAAACATAACTGAATGGAAGCATAAGAGTAAATAACTATTTCAGATCATTATTATAATTTATATAAAAAAACGCTAAACATAGCTGAATGGATTCCTGCATCGCTATTTCGCTACCGAGTATCGCTAAAGCATAATTTCATCTCGTTGGTTGTTCAAACATAATTTTCTATAATGAATGATGCCTTTTCTTTGAAAAAATTCTATTGCAGACTTTTCGTCATGGGCAATTCCCAAATTGTTAAATCTATGGGATATCAAAAAAGGATTTAAAAATGAAAGTAATATTTCAATGGCGTCTTAAGAAATATAGAACTATCTAAACTTACACAATTTGAAATCAAAGTATACGCTAGATTTGGCGCTCTGTTAAATGGGCGCATTTGAGCATTTTCTCTGCAATTTTTTACGGTCTTTAAAAAGGAATAGTACGCTTTTTTTTACTTCATTTGAATATGCATAAACTAAAATTAGCATTCAGGCAGAAAAACGGAAAAGGCAAAATGTTAGTATAGATTCTGAACATAAAGTAACTAAATAACTGGCTAGATAAAATGTTAATATAGATTCTGACCATAAAGTAACTAAATAACTGGCTAGATAAAATAAATACCTTGCAAGTTTTTTCAGTCACAGGTACTTATCTGAGTAGGTTTTATTTTTTTATGTGAGTACTTTGTCAAAATTGTGCCAGTTTGAACATAAAATATTATGGTAAGTCTAGTAATAAACAATGTTGGCTTTTAACCCTCCCACCGAAAACTGACACATAACCTTATAACAGAAAAGATCCCTCTTTTTAAAATAACTAGAAACAGCATTTGTTTAAAATGCTGGCTAAAATAAAACATATTATGCATTCTAATTGTGCAAAACATACATTTTAAACCAATCCTCATGAGAACAGAAATTGGCCATTAATGATTTCTACAAAAATTTTATACAACTGTTTTAACATTTAGAAAATAAAATCAATAATACCTCACAAAATCATATCCTCGTTTGATCATATCTGCTCTATCCTTTTCGGACTTGGTAGACAATATACCTAAAAAATTTCTCTTATTAACACAGTATTTTAAAGCCCAAAACAGAAATTGATTACATTAAAATTTGACATGACATGACATGACAAGATCTGGCAATCTAAGAATGTTAATCCAGTGTACAATAAAGAACAAGTCAACACAATGTGCTGTAAAGAATAGTTAACTCAGTGTGTGATTTAAATTAATTGCAAATAAGATATAAACCTTATAATTTTTCTATCAAAATTTCAATGCTTTCTCAAAAATATTTTAAGATAGTTTATAAATTTTAATTTTATTAAATTAAAATTAAAAAATAATTACCAGCATGTACAGCAGGATGCAGAGTTTTAACTCTACCACCAAGCATCTCTGGTGCCCCAGTTAATTCAGAAACATCTCTAAAACAAAACAATAAAAATATATCAGTTATCAACATACCAAAATGATACTATTAATTGATTAAAAACAAGGAATTTTTTAGTTTTTAATAGTACTAGTTTATAAGCTAGCATTCACCGGTACACTACCAGACTATCACTCATGACTGCATTGCACTGTGACAATCCTAGAAGCTGTGAATTTGTTTTTTAAATTCCATTTTTTTTAGCTGTATCTCAAAACTACTTTTTTTTTTTTTTAAACTTGTTTGAGGGGTGACAATGCTTTATTTTAAGCTCAGCTTATATCTATATTGTGTTATCATATTTCTTCGCATATTCCCCCCCCCCAGCTTCTTACAAGTAGGTTCTGAAAACTTTAAAAATAAATGTGCAAATTCTTCACTAAGCTACACAGAATGGGCAGCTGTTTTTGCACTTCAGAAACTTTTCTGCAGAATTATTATTGTGTGATTATGATGATTTCCTACAGAATTATTATGTATATTATTTCCCATTATTTGCATTATTTAAGTTCTAGCTCACCGTAGCCTTATCTATTGCCGACATCTTAAATCTTTCAAAATCCAATTTTTTTGTTCCTCCCTTCTTTATTCCTCCAATGCTCCTCTTAGAAACTGGGATCAAAACTCATTCATGTGAGGTGCCTCTGGGCTTTACAAAATAACTGAGCCAGCTCAATTACTATCAGATTTCGGCTTAATGAAAGTTAAATAAATTTCATTTTATTATAAAAATATTAATACAAAATTATGTTAATGCAACAAAACTATAGTTATAAAATCCAAATTTTATATAGTTATATAAACAGAGCCATAGCTGGGATTTTCAGTGCCCGGAGAAAACCAAAAATTTTGTGCCCTCTTTTGTGTGCCAAGAATGAAAAACATTTCATTCTAAAATTTCTTAACATCAATTTGCTGCATTCGGGGATTGTGTCCCCCTTTGCACCCCCTAGCTATGCCACTGTATATAAATAATTATATAAATTTTGTATAATTTTAAATATAAAATAGGTAACTGAATAATTTAAAAGACCTTAACTTTGTTCTGATTTTAATATTTTATTTTGTTACTAGCTATTATAGTGTATTTTAAAACTAACATAATACGTAATTGGGAACTGGTAATTAAGATAAAAGCAATTTTGATTTTAACTCAGCTTGCCAGCTCCCTTTCTCCATTAAAGTGATCAGGTTTTAATTTAGTATGAAGATATAGGAAAAGAAATAACATTTAAAAAAAGTATTTATTGATAGTATGGTATGTAAATAAACACATTTACTTTCAAATGATTCTATATCCATTTAATGATGAAATTCAACTAAATTATGAAGCTGAAATTCGACTAAATATCAATTTAATTGATCATGTTGACAATAATAAGGAAGAATTTCTTGTTAAGAGAGAATTATCTCAGAGTTTTATTTCCATTATTGCTAGAGAAAACAAAAAAAAGAGGAAAGTAGAAGGTGGTCCTTGTGAATAACAAAATTGTATATACTGTCATATTATTCTGAGCTTTCCTCAAAACTGTTGTAAGCACAGCTGGTTGTGAGAAGAGTTTTCTAAATAAAAATTTTTGGAAAGTATTTTAAAATTATAAATGTTAATTTTGAATTTAGAGAGTAATTAAGAACTCTAAAAATTTAATTTGCATTTATGAAATCTGTCTAGACTACATTACAGCAAACAGGACAATTAAGTAGACATTGATGGTTTTATAAAACAAACAAAAAAAAAAAAAAAAAAAAAAAAAACTAAGCGAAATAATAGTATAATTTTAAAATGTTGGAATTAAAAAAAATTTTACTTAAAAAATAAGCAGAGTTTAAATATATTTCCCTACAAGTTATTTTAATATATTTTTACTCATTTGTGGAAATTCAGCAACTACCTAACACGGTAAAAGCAAAGAACACTTCTGGCTGCAGAAGCTCAATATATGTCACTGAATATTCATTTTCGGAAACTGGATGTCGGGTTCGACGACAAAAGGTCAACGAGCATTTTACTTGAAACTAAAATAAAAAGTGAGTATCACCAATTTATCTTTAAATGTGCCAAGATGGCAAACTGAAAAATAATTCTTCGAGGTACCCCTGCAAAAAATGGGTTAAGGCTCGTTTCTGTGGCAACAGACTAGCTGTCGAGAGCTTTTTTCCTAACAGACCGTAATTATTATTAACTGAATAATTTGATATATTTAGCTAAAAAAAAAAAAAAAAAAAAGGAAAATCTTAATTTATCTCATTCATTACTGTAAAGCAAATAAAAGAAATATATGTAATAAATATGCTTCTAAACTATCCAAAAATGTGCCCATGATTTTTAAACAGAAATACTAAACTGCAAAAAACATGATATAATCATTTTACAAGCAAAATTTATAACAATAATTTACGAAAATGCTGTTGTTACTGTACTGTTCAATAGTTCACAGAACAGGAAAGCTTAGATTTATACTGAATTGAAAAAGGCTTTCATTAATATAGTTATTTATTAAAATATACTCATCAGATTTAAAATAAAAATTTTCAAACTAGGAACATCAAATAAACTGATACATTTATTGAAACGAAATGTCATATTGATAAAGATTATTTTCTGCATTATTAATAAAATTTAAAGAATGCCTTAAAAATTAGTTATAGCAAGAAGAAGAAAATAATAGAAACAACAACTTGGGGATAAATCAAACAACAACTTCGCCATAATACAAGGGGTACCTTAAAGTCTACTCTATCCGCATTTTTTTTTTTTTTTTTCAAATGTCACTTAAATTTGTTGATACATATTAAAACAGCAACATGTTTTACTGCAGTATATATCCAAATATGCAAAATGCAAAGCATTTACCTGATTTCTAATCCAGCATCTCTTAATGCCTTTGCAGTCCCACCAGATGCAACTAATTTTAAGCCAACTTGTGCCAATTTTTTAGCAAAAGGAATAAGTCCAGTTTTGTCAGAAACACTTAATATTGCTAAAATATGAACAAAATCTGTTTGAAGAGAGCAGAGGTAATACATAGCAAAAATGAAAATATATAAAGTAATATAAGAATTGACCAAGATAGTTTTTAAATCATATTTGGGTCATTCCATGGTAACTACATTTTATTTAAAAAAAAATATAAAACAAGATGCAATTTAAATTTTTAGTAAGTTCTTATAAAATAAGCGAGCAAAAAATTAGCATTTTCATGTAAATCAGTAAAACACAACATAAGAACAAACTATTACAGGGACTGGAAAATTTAGATTTCTTCTGCAGCTGAGAAAAAATGAGATTGCTCTCTTACAAAAACATTTTTTTATTTTAATTAATGAACATTTAATTACGGAGGAGAAAAAGTGCTGAAATCCTCCCCCTACACTCTTATTTAAATTTTTCTTTTTAGAATACAGATAGTCAATAGGGAGTTGATTAAATGATGCCGAATTCCACTCAGTACATTAAAAATTAAATGAAGAATAGACACGATTAGAGACAGAATTCTATATTTAATGTATTAAAGAGTTATTAAGTAACTTACCTATATGATTTGATGATGCCATTATCTAAATTTAATTGAATTTCTGCCGATGGTATTAAATTACGGATTCAGCAAAAGAAGTCAGTGGGTGTAGATGATTAAAAAATGCCAAATTTCACTTAAAATTACGTTTTAAACGTCAAGGCAACAACAGACGCGATTAATGATAGAATTCTAAATCAGCATATTAAAAAATTAAGTAACTTACCGATATGATTTGAAGATGCCATAATCTAAGTTCAATCGAATTTCTGCCGATGGTATTGCTTTCAGCTATGAATTCAGCAAAAGAAATTGCCTGGATAGCAACACAATTCTTGACAGACTAAAAGTGTCGAAATCTTGAAGACGTCTTGAGATAACAGATGAGATAAGATACTTTAATCTTTTGACCTTGAGTCTTCGGCGTCACTGCTTACTATCTGTGATACTATACATTGATAAAACTATCAATATGTCCTCACATTTAGAGGTCATTTTTAAGAGTTTTAAGCACAGAAGCTCTTTTCGTCAAGTACCTGAAGAATTAAAAATCTGTAAACGTAGATAGGAACTTCATAAACGGAAACAAATATACCCGCCATAAGTGATGTTGCCATTCATGCTAATGCGCAAAATATTTGTGAGCCAATGGCTACGTAATAATAAAATAATAACAAATAAATATGGAAAAGTATACAAGGGTTATCTTCCTAAGGAGAGAATGTTTTCGGGGAGGACTTACTAAGAAAACTGGCTCGTATTTGCGTTACACATGGAGAAAATCTTGTGAACCAACGAAAAATATAATTCGTGGGAATAATAAAAATACCAATGCATTAAAGTGGGGGGGGCGGAGAACTAAATACAAAAAACAATTCAATATTCTTTCTTGCGCCATCCCATCTTTTTTTTTTTTTTTTTAACAAGTCACTAAATGAGGGCGCTTATATAAATGAGGAAAACTGTACGCTCGAACAGTATTTCTAAAACATAAAAAACCGGCGAATATCTTCCGTTTTGAAAACAGCAGTTTCATTTTCAGATGGTTGCTCGCTCGTTATTGAGGTATTGTCGCGAACGTGATAATAGATAATAGAACGTGATAAGCTTAAATTGCGCCGGAGCCCGGCTCCGGTACTTCTTAATTTTTGGGATAAATCATAATTGTAGGCGGAGCGCTGAGGCTCCGGCACTCCTTTTATGTAACTGAACAACAATTTCAGTAGAAAATTTGTCTCGAATTTTTTATTTATTTATTTATTATTTTTTGCAATAAAATTATATTAAAAAATCGCTTATTAAATTTTAGTTTATTCCTTTACATTTTATTTAACTTTAATAGTTTAATTACTTAAGTCTTTAATTATTTAAATAAATAATAATTAGTTTTTATTTATTTAAATAATAATTATTAATTAAATAATAATCGATAAATATTAATTATTAATATTGGTTAAATAATTAATAATTACTTTGATCATAATTAACTATTTAATTTTTAAATTATTAATGATTTTAATAGTCATTTTATTCATTTATTTACTTTTGTTCCTCATTGCTGACGGTCTTCCATAGGGCCATGGTCTTTCTAATTTTAGAAATTAAGCCCTGGATAACCCATACATGCTTGTTCACGCACACACAGATTTACACTCTTTATATTTAAGGGTCAACTCGCCAAACAATATCCATCGGGTATAGAAATGTATATATTGGATATTTGCTAGAAAGCGGCTGAGCTGAACTAACATAGTTCGATGTGGGTTCGGTATCAAACGAATAGGCAGTCTGCGTGTGTGTTTCTGTGGTTTTCTTCGTATATGAAGTGGGTATGAAACAATTTTTATTAGAGACTCCTTCACGACTGCAGTCTTCATGTGCTTTGCCCAAACTGACGAAATTACGGATTTCTGTTGTTGAGTAAAGTTTCTTACTTCTTATAAAATGCCTATTTTTTATTATTATTTGCAACCAGAATAGTGTCTTTCAGACATTAAGATAGCCGAACAAGTGTTTTCTCCAATTCATAAAGACACCAGACAGTTGGCGACTTTTGAGGATGGTGCGAATAATCAAAAATTCCTCAAAAGGGTAAAAGTACTTCTGAATTAAAACATGTCATAACTGTTGGAATAGGTGATACTACCGCGTGTGCACATGCATAATGGATTGAACTAATAAGGAAAGATTGCGTAAGTTTTTATACCGCGCCCAAGGATTTATTGATATAATCAATGTTCTATTTTTAATTAGTTTGTTTTTTTGAATTTTTTAAAAAATGGATGTGTAGTTTTTCATCTCTTGTAATAACCTCTTTGTTATAACTTGTGCACAGATTAAAGTTTTAAAAAGCTGATCCTCAGGGCTTAATTTCTAAAATTAGAAGTGCTAGAGCCCTATGGAAGACCGTCAGCAAAGAGGAACAAAAGTAAATAAATAAATAAAATGACTATTAAAATCATTAATAATTAAAAAATTAAATAGTTAATTATTCTTTAATTAATTTTAATAATTAGTGATGGTCAATTATTATTTAAATAGTGATTATTATTTAATTAAATAAAATTATTTAATTATTATTATTAAAATAGTTAAAGAGTTAAAGATAAACGTAATTAAATAATTTATAAAATAAATAAATCTGCTACGTAAACGCCAGAGCCTTCTGATTTAGGGCTCCGGTGCGCTCCGACTAGAATTATGATTTATCCCAAAAACTAAGAAGTACCGGAGCCGGCCTCTGGTGCGCTCCGGCGCAATTTAAGCTCTGGGTATTTTTGGATACATCTGAATGAAGAACCCGATGATTCAGGTAAGTGCTGTGTTACTGTTGGAATGCTTTCCGCATTAATTAATATTGTCTATTGATAATTGACGCAATAATAACTACCACTCTCAACCAAGAAATTAATTTTCGTTTTGGATCAATCAAGTAGTTTTTATACTTTACACAAGTATAATTTCATATTATGCCATTATCACTTTTATTTTCTCAATTCCTATTCCCACCCTCTTACTCATAAACTTTTTGTTTTTTGTAGTTGTGCATTTGGTTAACTTCATTACCTGCCCTATTTTAGTTTCTCAATTATTCACTAGATGGCGGCACTCCATCTATTTCTGCCTTCCCTGGAAAAAAATTTCGCTGACTTTTTTTTAACTCCGTCAGGCCTTTTGGCCCGGATAAGAAATCTCTTATTGTGGACCAGTAACAGAGTCGTAGCTAGGGTTTTCGGCGCCCAGGGACAACTGAAGATTTCGCGCCCCCTACTGCTTGCCAAGGATGGAAAACATTTAATTCTAAAATGCCGTAACATCAGTTTGGCGCCCCTTGGATTCTGCGCCCGGGGACAGATGCCCCCCTCTAGCTACGCTCCTGACCAGTAAGATACAAAAGTATCAAGGTATCTAACCGAAATTCTGTAGCCAAGAAGACCGAAATATAGCTCCCGTTTTGAAATAATAGTAATTTATATTACTTTTTACCAAGTTCCATGAATTCTGATAGTTTATTTCATAATTTTTGAAGAATAGCATTTTAACCAAAACAATACGAAACATTTACATCAAGGATGTATTCCAACTCTTTGTTTAATATTTACTTTTCCTCTATTAACATAGCCTATTGACTCGCGTCGCCATCTTTTGACTTAGATGAAAACCATTGATACATACATTAAATATTTGGTGTAAATAGTAATTTTTTTTTAAGGGGTTATATCTACTAGATAATGATGATAAGAATTATCAGGATTTTGCAGTAATGCTTTTTACTTGTTACTTGTTTTATGCTGTTCACTTGTTCTGCAGAATCGAAGCTTATATATATAGTCGGGGGACTTAGAAACCCTGCATAATCACGTTCGTATCAAAGTATCACTTGAGCCACCAGGGATCACTCATCTTTTAAAAGCACTGGGTGGGTTTTCTCTGTAGACAGTGATTCAAGGGCCCTTTGTAATTTAGAGTCTCTCACAGCTGTGACTTGCATAACTGCATGAATCCATCTCCAAATTTATTGTTTCATAACGTTATCACTAATATTTAGGTAGTGAATGAGTTCTTAAAGTTTTCCAGTACATTGTTTGCAATGTACTAGCCTAATGGTCTCAAACACAAATGCATGCATGTAGAATGCATGACCTGAAAATAGCTGGCGTTAGCCCCCCCCTTTTTTTAAACAAAACGAAAAATGAAACTAAGTTCCTTTTGAATTTAAGAAAATTCTTCTATTTTTTACGAATATTATTAAATGGTTTTGTAAGACAAAATGATTTTAAGCTAAAAAAAATTTTTACCTGTCATTTTTTTTCATTAAAAGTTTTTGAAGAAAAATTTAAGAATTAAATTGTCTTTCTTCTCCTACAATTTTCAATGTGTTTCCCAAATTTTTCTATTGTATTTATTAGAATGTTCTTAATAATTTTAAGGATCGATTTTGCAATTAAGAAATTGTTTCTGAGAAAAAAAAAAAAAAAAAAAAGTATATTTTTTTGTAAAAACTTTGAAAAAATGTGATCTCATTTACATTTTTATTTTCAATAATATTTTTTTTACCATTATTTTGCAAAACCCATCCTTGTTTTTGTCCCAACTTCACTTAGTATTTAAATTTTGGCCTTGGCTACTAATGTTCAAAACTAAATTATGATTAGGAACAGCATGACTTATGAACAACTAGTTAAGTTTATTGCCTTTTATTTTCCAGATATCGAAATGTGATGCTACTAGACTAGCAACATTTGGAAACCAAAGCCAAGTGATGATGTATCAAAACTAGTTGCCATTCAGCATAACAAAATGTAAATATACATATGAACTATTTGTTGCCATTCAGCATAAAAAATATAAATATGAATATTAACAAAATATTAAAGTTAATTTTATAAAATAATTAAACACATGAAAAAATATAAAATACTTGAAATAAAAAATAATTATTTCTCATGCAATAACTGGGCCACTACAAAATAAATGAGTTAATACATAAAAACAGAGTTTGCTGATATTTGCAGTCATTTTTAATTATAATCCTCTTCTTTTACACTGATTTTTAATAAGTTAATGAAACAATTAAAAAATTTCTGAAAACTCCTTTATACCATTTGTTATCGTCAGATCATTTCAAAATTTCTTTTCATTAAGGTATTTTTTTTAGCAAAAAATTGAAAAATAGTTAATTTCACCAATTTTGGGGGTACCAAATCCCCTGAACACCCCCCTCCACACACACACACACAAAAAAAAGGGGGGCAGTCTAAATATTTATCAGAACATACAAACAAAATAATAATATATGGAAAGGAAAAAATTCAAATTTATTATCAACAGGAAATCTAACATTTGACACCTTAAGACATTTTTTTTGGTTACACTTTGTAATTCAAATATACTGACAGCTAAATACTAAATTTTTAGACTGACATTTATAATATATTTAATTAATTAATAAATTACTTTACTTTAATTGAAACTTAACATAAAAATTCTGAAGACATTTTAAGTTCCACAGAAAATTTCCAAGTGAGGCAAAACTTCAGAATAAATAACAACTTAGTCTCCTTCTCCTATTTATTGTTTTTTTCAAGGCTGAAAAAATGCACATGTTTATAGGTAAATAATAATAAACTTCATTTCTTATTATAGTTTGATACTCGATGGCGTTTCAATTCTTATATAGCTTGTAGCCTTGGACAGAAATTATTTTTATAACAGATTATAGATGCTGATCTGTTCATCAAGTTCTTTTCTTATTAGTTTTCAACTGAAAAAGGCATTCACATTATTTGTATATTCTCAAATAAAATACCCACTTGTGGCTAAGGTGTTATGACTGCTAATACTGGTAGTTCAACCTGGTTTGAATTTTAACTTAAATGAACAGGCTGGCTTCATGGTTAGTTTTGCTCATGTGTACATGAATATGAGCCACTTTCCCTCAGAAAATCCTCCACAAAGACATCCCTTCCTTTAGGCAGATAGCCTTTGCAGCTTCCCCATATTCAAATAACCTAACAAAATAAAATGAGTATTTTTATTGTTCTCATCTATTATTTGGCAAGTATGAATGAAATTTAATCAAATCTGTATCTTCAAATCTTTGAATAAGATTTATATTACATCATAAACTATTTAGCTCCATTTATAGATATTCTGGTGCGTTATTCATGTTGTTTTTGATTGTTATTTAAATAGTATAAATTCAGGCTTCAAATAATCCAAATCTTGAAATTTTTGCAACAAATATGTAGCTGAACTGTCTCTGAATATAATTGCTTGTGTCCTGCCAGTTTTGTAACAACAGTATTATGCAAGACACTATTTAAGAGCAGCATGCCACTGAATAGGCTAGTGGGACTAGATAGTTTTACATCTTTTTAGACATTAACATTTTCAAGTATATTTTTATTCTTTTGAAACTGCACACTATTTTATTGCTGTCGGATTTATGCTCAAATGAGAAAAGGTTTATATGAAAATAGGCAAGCAGGGTTTCATATGTTCTTTTAGTTACTTTAGACGTGCTATAATCAATCTACTAGTGATAGACCACAAGAATTTTTTATTTTCTTACGATTCTTACACAACATTTTAGTTTGTCTTTATGAATGTTCTCGTGTTACATGAAAGAATTTGAAGAAAAGTGTACTGATGTAGTAATTTTAAGTTTAAATTAGAGACGCAAGGAGTACAGAAAGCTGGCCTCTATATAGCAAATCATTCCGCTTCATCATGCAACACGTGAAGTCCTTTTACTAAAAGGTGCTGATCAATTGTCACTACCAAAATTCTAAAATTTTGATCCCCTCCATGTTTAATTTATCAGATAATATATTTTCAAACAAAATAAAAAATAATTACAAAAAAAATTCTTTCTATATGCTCTCATTTCTAGAAATATGAAACACAGCTGTCATTCCGAAGTGGAATGATATAAAATTTCAAAATGATATATAAACCAAAAAGAAATTTATTTTGGTAGCTTTGTGTGCTTTTAGAGACAAAAATATTTTAATTAGTCATTTATTCATTATGACATCCATCAGATTAATAAATGTTTTCCAGTACCATAAAAAATAATCATTGCATAATTATACTCGTCAGTCTTCGCATTCAAAATATCAGGTTTTACGAAAGTTTCCCTTCACCGTAGATATCGCCTGCGCAAACAGTTTGCATTGGCATGTTTATCAAATTTTGTCAAACGATTTTTAGCACTTGAAAGAAAGAGACTTGCTTTAGAACACTTGTGTTGTGAAATTTGTAAACAAATATAGTTATTATTAAGTACTAGGTGTCTGAAATGGAACTATCACGTTACCAGATTAGAACCATCATTTACTTCTAGTTAAGTTGCAAAAAGTCAGCTACAGAATGTCACCAAATCATGTATACAGCTTTACATACTAATGTTGTATCATATGACACTATGAAGGTTTGGTACTGAAAGTTCAAATACAAGGACTATCACATTCAAGAAACAGAGCGTACTGATGTTGATGAGGCCTGCCTGCGAGAACTTGTAGAAGAAGATCAGTATGCAACCACTCGAGAGCTTGCTAAGGAGTTAGACATCAGTGCCATGTCCATTAGTTGCGCTATGAATTGCAAAAGTTTGACGTACTAGTTCAATCACTGGGTGCCGCATGAGCTGACTCAAGCAAATAAAGACAGATGTGTTCGGGCTTGCACTAATCTGCTCGAATATCAACGCAAAGGCAAAATTCTGGACTGGATTGCCACTTGTGATGAAAAGTGGTTTGACTTCAACAACACAGGCCGAAAAAAGAGTTGATTTGCGGCCGGTACACCAGTCAGCAGATTCACAAAACTCAGTTTTGACTAATATAAAGATCATGCTTTGTATTTGGTGGGGTTGCTGTGGTATTATCCTCAAACAGTATCTGGAAAAAGGTAAAAACCCTCAACAGTGGCGTGTACAGACAGATGTTGTCCACGTTGACACTACTATCAAGAAAAAATGTCGAACTGAGCTCGTGCGCAAAAAGGTAATGTTCTATCAACATAATGCAAGCGCATGTGTCTGCATTCACCAGTTAGACTCGAATGGGATTTTTTGTCACACCCACCATATAGCCTCAACATCGCTCCTTCGGACGTCTACCTTTTTTTCATACCTGCAGCTACATATTGCTGGTGCTATCTTCCATTCTGCATAGGAAGTATGAAATGAGGTTGATCTGTTTTTGGACTAGTGGCTACCAAGTTTCTGGGACAGAAAGTTATGAAATTGTTGGCAGGAAAACATGGATCTGGGTGGAAACCAGACTAAAGATACTGTTTTCATGTTTTTTCTAACTTATTAAGAATATTTTTTGGCAGAAAACTTTCGTTACAAACAGATATAATAAACTCTGTCATGAAGACCACCTTTTCCGAAAGTAACTAATATTTCTAAAAACATAAGCTAAACATTAGGATTGAATTTTGCCTTTCTAAAATGACCATTTCCACTGTCAGTAGCTGATCGTCTTAGAAAGATTTTATAATTTTTCTTCAAATTTAGTTCCCTTTGGTGAAAACCATGCCATAGCCACAGTATTGCTAATGATCCATTAGAGCATCTTTTGACAATTAAATCTTTTAATTTTTATTTTCAGCAGTTATTGTTTGATATTTGCATTTGAAATGGTATCAAACCGATTATTATTATCTGCAGATTATCTCAGCTTTTATATTCCTCTATTAGTTGATGACAAGTTGTACCACGTTGCTGCTATTTCTCTATTTTACTGACCCCTATATATATTCTGTTGTTTAAGTATGAATACCACTGTTAGGATTCAAATTAACATGAAAATAATAAAAATGCTATCTACACCTCCTCAACAAAAGAGAGAACATTGGCAAGGAGAAAAATTACAGTGTCTAGCATTGTTAATTATCATAGGAATGGCACAAGAAAACATACAGCTGGAAACCACAACCAAATCAAAATTGCGGCAAATAAAAAACTGTCACCAAGTTTGGCGCTAACCCCGATAATGGAATATTAACCATATTTGGCGATATGTCCAGGTTAGATGATATGTATCAAGAAAAGTACTACATTTATGTAACAAGTATTGTAAATTAAATTTATATATTTGAAGTGCTTTTTATAAATAATAATGAACAAATCCTAATTTTTATATTTTTATCAAACTACATAGACCTCCTTGATTCTCTAAATGAAATGACCAGTCTTAAAAAGAAAAGTAAACATCATAATTGAGTTTTCAACATCAAATATGTAAGAAATGCTCAAAAATAAAAAAATTTGTGACATTGTAATATATGTATGTTGCATGTTATTTACTCCAAATTGAGTATGGTATGGATTTTAAAGGCACTTATTTTTTATTTTATTTTTCATTATACATACACACATATATCTATATATATTTTTAAAAAAAAGTTTTAAATTCAGAACAATGTTACCGTTGAAAGTGTAATCAGTTCTTATGTACAGAAGGAAAAACAAAACTTCATTTTTAACATTACATTTCATCCTTTATTTAACTTAAATCAATAGATTTTACATTTTGTACTGTGATTTACAGTTGTCTTCAGCATTTTCTTTGATAATATAAAAACCTTAAAAAAAAAATAATAATGAATAAATAAATAAAATAAATAATCAAGTTCATTAATTTACAAACACAGGTTCATAAAATCAAAAAAAGTAGAATACCCCCTCAAAAAAATCACACAAATAATTGATGAATTCTAAAGCAATCTGGTACATGGATATACTTCATGCTATACAAATAAACACATAGGAAAAAATACTGTGCTGTGA